CCGCCCCTGGCTGATGCCCCACCCCTGGACAAGGTCCCGCCCCACCGAGGTCCCACCCCTTGCTGAAGCCTCACCCCTCAAGGCCCTCCTGCCAATTCCCGCCCCTGTGCTGAGGCCCGCCCCCGCCAAAGTCCCGCCCCTCACCGAAGCCCCACCCCTCGCCTCGCTGAAGCCCCACCCCTCGCCTCGCTGAAGCCCCACCCCTCACCTCGCTGACCGCCTTGCGGTCCGGGGCCTTGGCTGCGCTGAGCAGGCGGAGCACGTTCTTGGCACCCTCGGCCACGGCGTGCTCCACTCGGAAGTGGTGCCGCAGCTCCTCAATGCGCAGCTCCACGGCCCCCAGGTCTGGACTCCCTGTGGGCGGGGGGCGCCAGGCGGTGAGGCCAGCCTAGACCCAGGTCCAACCACCCCAGCCCCAGCCATGCACTCAGGCGCAGGAACACGCACTGGCGACAGACAGACCACCACCAAGCTGCATCACGTTTTTCCCAAGCGAGGGGTCACGGTCAGTCACACTTCCACCGAGATGCAATCACTCTTTTTCCAAACGCCCACAGGGACCATCCCAGGGACAGAGCTGGGCTGTCACACAGGGACAGTCATAGACACAGGTACACTATCAACACAGGCTCAAAGGACAGACGTGTTGGCAGGGTCCCATTTCATCCCCAGGGACTGTCACAGGGACACTATGGCCATCTGGACAGCCAGAAGGAGACAGTCACACAGGCACAGGGACACATGCAAAATCACAAACGCAACTGCCCTTCGAGTCAGCAATCCCAGGTCAGGAACTCTACCCCCCAGAAACACTCTGCACTTGACACATGTACATGGGTATTCACTGCAGCCCTCTTTCTCAGAGCCAAAGATTGGAAATAACCCGTGTCTTGCAGGCGGAGCCCCGGTGAGTGAATGTGGCCGTCCACAGGTGAAATATAAAGCAGTTGGGAGAACAAGGGCACCGCCACACAGAGATCATCACACTGTCACTCGCAGGGTAACAGCATCACTTTGCCACCAGGGTAGCACGCTGTCCCCCACAGGCGGAGGAACACACACTCTCACAAGATAGTCATGCCGCCACACAGGGACACTGTCACAGGGCAGAGGGACGTGATCACAGGACACAGACATCCTTATGGGACGCGTTTACACGGTGGCAAAACTCCTGGGCCTCTAACTCCAGCGCCGGGAGAATCATGATCACACTGGCACATGGCCAAGGCACAGGGACAGGCAAAGAAATGCCATCACACTGTCACACAGGCAGGGCAGCATCACCGATACCCACGGGCTCAGAGACCCAGTGGTGCAGGGAAACAGACCGGCTGTGTCCCAGTACGAAGCCCCAGGGACACAGCCGTGGCCCAACATAGGATGGCCACGGTCACCCAATGGCACAGGGTGGGCATGAGGACACACTGGTACCAGAGGCACAAGGTGTGGCCACACTATCCACGGCTGTAGGTTCCAAGGACAGTCTCCCTGTCCTGGACGTTGACCCCGACTCAGACCCTGGCACTCCGTCAGAGAGAGCCACATTGTCACTCACGGGTGTGTGACACTCACCGAGGCACCGAGAGCATAGGCACAGCGTCACCGGAACCCTGATATCCGGCGGCACATCGTCTTACAAACACAGTCACACTCTCGCCTCCAGGCCTGCTGTCCCATGTGCCCAGATAGTCACCGAGACTCTTGCAGAGACAAAGTCGCACCAGGAGTCAAGCTTACGCTGGCACCCAGAGGCACAGGGACATGATAACGCCATCGTATACGGTCACTGAGAAGCCCATCATGTCGGTATTCCCAGTCCAGGGGAACCATCACACCGACTCCTCCCCTACCCCAAAGACACACGCTGTCATCTGGGTTACAGACCCCACTGCTATGGGCTGAATGTTTTTGTTCCAAAATTCGTGTATTGAGACTCAACCCCAAATGTGACGGTATTAGGTGTCAGGAGGTGGGGCCTTCGGGAAGAGATCAGGTCCTGAGGATGGAGCCCTCGTGAGTGGGAGCAGGGCCCTTGTAAGGGAGGCTCCCCAGAGCCCCTCCACCCTCCAGCACGGGAGGGCACACACAGCGAGAGAGAACGCAGCCGTCCACGGGCCCAGAAGAGGGCTCTCGCCAGACGCTTGGTCAATGTCACATTACTACCCGCACACACGAGGAGCACAGTGGCTGTCACCCTCGCACACAACACCTCAAATCCTGTCACCAATTCAGGTGGACAATTAGCTCGAGACGCCCCCAGGCACTCGCATGCAGACGCTCCCATGGGAATGGACACACATGGTGGACACCCACAGGTCTACACAGCCGGGGCCGACATGGCAAGGCAGCCACCTGGTCCAGGTCCAGGGGTCCGCAATGTCTTCTCCTAAAGAGCCAGGGAGTGGGTATTCTCAGCTCAGTGGCACGCACGGGCTCCGCGGCCCCTGCTCGCGCTGCTGTCGTGCGTGAGAGCAGCCTTCGGAGCCAGGCAAGGAATGGACGTGGCTGTGTGTCAGTAAACCTTTATTCACACAAGTAAAAAGGCAGTGGCAGCTTTGGGCCCCGGGCTGTGGTTTGCCAGTACCTGACCCAGTGCAGACCTTCCACGGGACAAAACGGGCAACGGGCCCAGAGCCGGTCGGCGGTGGGTGCGCTCAACCTGCGTGTCGCAGCGGCCCCCTCCCTGCTCAGGAAGCGTTCGCTTACGGGGCTGGGGGCTGCGCTCCACCCGGCGGGGTGCAGGCTGTCTGGGCGCGAGGGGCTCACCTTGGGCCTCGTCCGGGGCTGCCTGGCTCTCCAGCTGTCCGGCCTGCAGGGCGCGGCGGAGCTGCATGCGGATGATGTCGATCTTGGTCTTACTGTCCTGCAGCATCTGCTGGGCCGTCAGCAGCAGCTTCCGGTCCTGGAGGCGGGGACGGGCTGTGAGGGCAAGGCTAGGGACCCGGGGTCGGACCGCTGGCCCTCTGGCCACACTGCGCACGCGGTGCTGACGGTGTCACAGAGTAGGATGTGCGGGTGTGACCGCAGGAATGTCCATGCATTCCTGCGTGTGTCAAGGGGAGAGGCGGCCCACGGCACTGGAACCCCCGCCACCTAACACCCGGCTACCTCCAGGAAGGCCCCCCACCCCGGGCCTGTGCCTTCATCTGCAGCGACGGGAGTAGGAACGGCACCGGCCGCCACCGGGCTGAGGGCTGAAGGAGCTGACCTGCGTGCAGGGCTCCCAGCCGTGCCTGGCGTCGGGACGCTCTGTGTTCGTCAGCTGCCAGACGTGTGGCATACGTGTGGGTGAGGGCGCCCTGCTGACTGCAGCCACATAGGTGAGTCCGAGGGGGACGGGGTGGGTGTGTGCGACAGCCTGCAGTCAGTGGCGCCCAGGGACACCGGGACTGGGGTGTGGGGGTGTCTGTGTGCCAACTCCAGTCTCTGGGTGTGAATCGCACGGTCTGTGTGTCCAGGTGTGCTGCTGGCCTGTGCCATGTGTCCTGGGTGTTACACGATGATGCGTGTCTGTGTCTAGAGGTGGCCGGGGTGCTTATCCTCCACGTGTCTCTAAGCACCGTCACGCCGACGCCGTCTCGGGATGGTACGAGAGCGCATGTGTGTGCCGAACTGTTGATTCGACTCTGTGCGTCTCTAGATGCTGCTAGGACCGTGGGTGTGTCTCTGGATGTTAGGATGATAGCACGTGTGCATCTAAGTGTTGGCCTGACTATGGGTATGTGTGTCAGAGAGAGGCCACCAGCAGAGGCTGAAAGCTGCCCTAACTGTGGACATCCCTCGAGTGAGTGAGGGGGGGACAGCCTCTGCTTTGTGTCTAACACCACACACAGCCATCCTGTTTCTCATATGCCCCCACAAGCTGCTCACACCCCAGTCCTGCCTCCGAGTCACCCGTCAGTCCCTCTGTCCCCACCCCAGAGGGCCCCAGCTTCCCAAGGGGCAGGTGGATGTAGGCGGCACCCCGGTTCCCACCCCGCAGCCCGTCATCTGCTCCCCGGTGTGCACGCTGCCCCTACCTTGGTGCTGCCGTTGCTGTATGTCTGGATCATGTTTTCTGCCCCCTGCTTCACCTTCAGCTCGATGGCCAGCTGCTTCTCCAGGCCGGCCACGCGGCTCAGGTTGGTGGCCGAGCAGGCCTGGCTACCTGCACCAGGGGACTGGGGGGCATCTAAAGAGGGGCGGGTGGGACAGACTCACAGCGGCCCTCACCTCCGTCTGCCTACGAGGCTTTGCCCACCTGAAAGGATCCACCCTCTGCCCAGCCTGGGTTCTGTCCCCAAGGCCAGGGACAGGAGGAAATGAGGGCCAGGGCCCAGAAGGTCCCCCCACTCCAGCCCTCCCAGGGAAACCCCCTGAGCCCTGGGACAGGACCAGCAGGAATGAGTGTGGGCAAGCATCCAGGTGTACGTGAGTCCTTGGTGTTGGTGTGACTGTGTACAGAAGGTAATGTGCATCTGTACCGGTCGGACAGCCGTGTGTGTGTGTGTGTGTGTGTGTGTGTGTGTGTGTGTGCGCGCGCACGCGCATCGTCCTCTGGGTACTGGGCGGCAGTACGGAGGCCTCTGGGTATTCACACGATAGCGTCTAGGTCCTTGGGTGTTGTCTGGGGGGTGGTGTCGGCTCTGTCAGGGTCTCTGGCTGCTGACGTGATGTGGAGGGGTCTTCAGTCGCAAGATGAAAAGTTCTGTAATCTCTTGCGTGACAATGGGAACCTATCGACCACCACTGAACCGTACACTTAAAAATGATCAATTTTAGGTTACGCATTATTTTTTACCACAATGAAGAATTTTTTAAGTAAATAAAAATTAAAGAAATTTTTAAAAGAATCGTTGGGTGCCGTCCACATGTCAGTACAACCGTGTGAGTCTTTAGATACTCGTGTGACACTGCGTGGGTCCTTGGGTGTTGTCTGGGGGGTGGTGTGACTGTGCAGACCTTTCTCTGGGTGTCGGCTTTGGTGTTCTTTTCTGGTTGTATGTCGAGGCCGGAGGCTGTCAGGACCCGGTGTGTCTCCCTGGGGATCCGCAGAGACAGGGCTAGCCTTGCTCTGGGAGAGTGTGGGTGAGCCCCTGGCAGTGGAACCCCCGAGAAGCCCCAGCTCACCTTGGGCAGCGGCCGCGGGGTCAGGCAGTACCACGTGGGCATGCAGCTCCTGGAGCTGCTGGTGCAGCAGGTCAAGCCGGCGGGAGGAGCCGCGCAGCAGCAGCTCCACGGGGCCGAGGCTGCGGCCCAGGTCGGTGGTGGCCCGCCGCAGGTTCTCTGCGCCCTCCTTCAGTTTCAGCTCCTTGCGGATCTCGCGCCGCAGCCGCTCCCGCTCCAGCTCCAGCTGCTGCTGCACTCCAGGAGCCGCCAGGTCCGCACCTGCCAGGCCCAGCTGCTCCAGCAGGGACCAGCTGCGCGGCTCGCTCTGCAGGAGATGGAGCACGGTCAGCGGGGCCGGGAGTCCAGGGGGCGGACCACCACGCTCAGCCAGCTTGGCCTGGCCTCTTCCTGGCCTGGGGGCTTCTGAGACGTACTCTCACCCCCAAAAGTGGGGGAGTGAGACAAGGTCCTGTCCCTGCTTCCTCATTCCCCCAAACTGTGAGGTCCCAAGGGCAGGGCCTTCTTCCTTCCCTGTCCCCTCAGACTAGGGGACCCCATAAATACAGTCTTGTCATCCTTCATCTATTCCTTATACAGTAGGATTCTGGAGGACAGGCCCTTGGAGGTCCCCAAGTTCAGGCCCTATCTCCCATTGCCCCCCAAAACAAGGTCCTGAGAGCATACCCCTCTCCCTTCTGTTGTCCCCCTAAACTAGGAGGTCCCAAGTATAGGCCCCAATTCCCCTCTACTGTCCCTAAAACCAGGTCCCGAGGGCAGGCTCCATTTTCCCCCCCTCGCAGCTCCTCAAACAAGGAAGTATCAGGGTAGGCCTCTGCCGCCCACCGCCCCCCCC